TACTAAAAACTGAGATGGTTCCAACTGAATTCGATAATAATTATCTTCCCTGGTAGGTCGCAAACTGTTTATAAAAACAGTTAAATATAATTAGTCAGTTTCAGCAGCTCGAAAATAGGAAACCAAATATCCATAAAGTTGGATAATAATGGTTGCTCTAGTTACAACTCCGCCTTGAGCCCATTTGGGGCTACTGTCGGTCCCAAATCCGGATAAAAAAAGATTGGGAATAGGGTTAACAACCCCATCTTGTAGAATACTAACTCGCTAAAAAAGTGCTAACCAGGAAAAATAAGAACGGATCCAGAAGTCTGAGCAAGACTCCTAATAACTTTTTTAATAGGTTCCTAATCAAAATAGCTTCTTATTTCTGATTTGATCACTTCTCTCTGATTAAATGAACAGGTAGTTCTTAAAGAATTGGTGAGTGTCTACGTCAAGTTACTATATCCATTTTATTATATATTTTTCATTTATCTATTCAATAGTTGAAACTATTTGATACTATCTAATGAATTAAACTTTTCAAGAAGTAACATTTCAGTAAAACAATAATATTATTATATTAGTTTTAATAGTTCAGATCATGATTTAATTAAAGCCAGATCACCGTAGAAAACCTGAAAGCAGTGGATGGTCATTTCGTCCTATTATGGGACTCCTCAACGATGCGCGTCCACAATAATGGACAAATTATAAAAGTGAATATCATCAATCGATTATAAATGACGTTAAGAATAAATAACTTCATTGTCATCAATATTAATCTAACCACTTCAACTTAATTGAAGTTTAAAATTAATTTATGCAAAATTTAATGACAAATTGTTATTTAAACAAAAATACCATTATGATTATTTTGAATTAAAACACTATTTTTTTCTATATAGAAGGTATCAGTTTGTTTCTAGTTTAGTTGAATGGATTAAATGAATTGAGTAAAATAGTATTGCTATTCATATGATTTTAATTATGGAGAAAAGTAAAAATAAACAAACATTTTAATCAAAATCAAGTAAGACTTATAATTATTCCTAAATAGATTTCATTAAAAATTAATAATAATAATAATAATAAACTGACGCCAAAACTATCAGTGTTACTTTCTTTGTCTATATATTTATACCTATTACTAAGGCCTTAAGTGTTTGCATTAAGAAGGATAAAGTAGCCACTTAGTTAGTGTTCAACCAAGTCATATATTCAGTTGCCTATATATATATAACTTTCAAAACAAAATGTTTTACGACTGTCAAGTTCAAGACACTACTGAATAAACAATTCATGAATTTATAGTTGCATCTTCGTCTACCATTTTTGTCATACGAATTAGTATGTGTATGTATGTTTTATCTAACCTGATAAACTCTCTTATCCAGTTTTTCTATCACTGTGGTTTTCCCTATTCTCTCTCTCTCTCTTTCCCTGTCACTTGCTTAGTGATTTTATTTTTCACGAGGATAGAGACTAAAACTTTTTTTCTGAAGAAAGAAAATAATACTTATCTTTAGTATATTCATGATATCCGCTAGTGCATCTCAACATCAGCATAATTTATATATATATATATATATATATATATATATATATATATATATATATATATATATATATAAGATTAAAAATAGAATTCATTTTAATAAATGTCAAATATTACTTATACACAGTTTAACAGGATGAAAAATGTCAGCTTGTCTAATTTACAAATAAAAATACTGACATTACATTGCTTAATACAAACTATCGAAATCTAAATTTCGTCTAAATATAAACAGTCATATATCATACAAGTATAAAGTCTTGAGATAAATTCAAATAAAGCACATTTCATTTAATATTTATTATGTTTCAAAGTTGATTCTACAGTAAGAATAGTTCAAATAGAATCATCTTTGACCCAATGTAAGATTTATCAGTACTATATAACTTTTAATGTATATCGTAATTTATCTAATTCTATTGTAATCATACTCATATAGAAGAATAATAGGCCGATAAAATAAAATGAAGCATAATTAAGATATTCGGTGATTCCCAAAAGTTCTATCATTCTTTTCTATTGATTTCAGTAAAGAATTATTTTAATGTCGATATTAATTGATTAAATCTAGAAGTCCATGGTGTATTATGATAGACCAGAAAAAATTCAGGTGTTTTAATGCGGAAGTGAAATAAATATTTTGGTGCTAATTGCTTTTAAACGTTAGATTTCATTAACCAAACAAACTGAATTTACGTCTTATGTTTACAGTTTATACTGTAAGACTTGTCTTCGAAATTATATAACTTGTGGTATCTCAGTTATCGATAATTAGCTTTTTCACTGTATTTTTAAGATACTAATTTTTACTAATTTAACTGAAAGATATTCTATGAAAAATAAAATCAGTCAAAATATTCCATTGTTAAGTTATATAAGGTTGATGAACTGCCCCCAAATTCCCTTGTACGGACGAGGGTGGGAAGAGTCAGCATTCCTTCTCGAAATGCTCTCAGATAGCCACGTGTATACCACCACTCTCATGGAAGTTCTACTCCCTGCCTTCTCGTGGCGGCGGTGTCGGTTACGAAATTTAGAGGACGGAAACGAAATGTCCGGTGCTTTAAATGGGTTGGTGGATACTGAGGATCCTCCTACGAGGATTTAGAAACCCTTATTTTGAACCAGTGGCGCACATGAGCTCCAGAATCCTAAGGAAAGAGATAGCGTATTAACCAATTGTTGGTCATCGGCTACCATGAGACTGCATCTCCTAAGGTTGTTCCACTGCTTGTTGACCAGACCTTTAGGTCAAAGGGTCCGACTGTGTCCCCCTAAGAGAACCACCCGCTTTGGTATAACAGCCTTTACACTAACCGAATGGTTTATGTGGCGCATATCTGTTTAATGCCTCTTTGTACCAATATTTATGTGTTCAGATGAGTAAATAATAAATAAATGGTAAATTTCCTATTCAGTAGAATTCAGTTAATTATGGGGACCATTACATTCACTATTATTCTCATTTACGTGATCCATTTACTTTCATTTCCAACTCTATTAAATCTATAAAAATACGAAAAAGATTATATAAATGATTTCGCTCGGTCTATATTCACAAAAGTTTTACCGGCTGATAGAAAACCACTGATAGAATAAATACAAAAAATAACCTTTAAAAATGGAAAAAGCACTATCATATGTTCATGTATTTCTGATTACTCATATCATTAATTGTAATATATATATATATATATATATATATATATATATATATATATATATATATATATATATATATATATATATATATATATATATGTTCAATTGTATTGGTTGTTTGAATCCTCTCATTGAGGTTCAAGACACTCTTATTAGCATATGTACATCCTACACGAATGTTTCTATGTTTCCATTAAGTCATATGCGTTATAAAGAGAGATAGACGGAGGCTAGCAGAGGAACTCAGGACGCACTGTTCGTCCTATTTGGGACTTGTCAGCTGGATTCACCTGTATCCCAGAGTTGACGTTCACTTCAAGACTAGCGTCCAGTACCATTCACTTAAAGCGTCATCGAGTTATCCACTTAACTTGTGCTATGAGTTGAAGTTTAATTCAATTATATTGGTTGTTTGAATCTTCCCAGTGATGCCTAGGAGTGAATATTAACTTCGAAATACAGTTATATCCAATTGACGATTTTCAGATAAGATGAAAGGCACGTCTTGGATTCCACTGATACCCACCTTTCATATATATTTAAAATGTTGACTTTGTAGTTAATAAATCAGCATTCACTTATACCAATAATATATAACACAAATTCCTGTTTTATATTATCTTCAAATATAAATGAATAAACATAATACATCATGTAGACACAAAAATGGTACATAATAGACTGGGTATTAGAAAACTAATAATTCAACTGCTTTGATTTGATGTTTAAAGTAATTTAAACGTTAGTTTATCCAAATGTTATTGATTGATAATTAGCTTTACATCTTTCAATATTAACAGATTTATTTACTCAGTAAACAGAAACGATTGAAGTCATCCCGATTTATTTTAAATGATTAAATAATATAATGTTTTTTTTCTACATAGAATTATAAAATTAGAAAGGGGTTTTTGTGAGATTTTAGTAATTTTAATAGTTGAGTTCATGAATCAAATGAAACTAGACAACCATGGAAAACCTAGAAGTACTGGATGGTCGTTTCGTCCTATTATGGGACTCCTCAGCAGTGCGCATACACGATCCCGCTCCGCGGAATTCCAACCCAGGACCTATCAGTCTCGCGCGCGAACGCTAAGCCTCTAGACCACTGAACCTAACTCATTTAGATAAAAGCTTTAAATTTTCAACTATTTATAGCTGACTCATTAAAATTTCTTATTTGATAGTATAGAAATAAATGTTCAGCTATTAAAAAAAATTTGACTTTACTAGAAGAAAATAAATGCAATTAGCGTTTTGCACTATTTATGTGAATTAATCTTCATCAAATGTTATGAAATAAATAAATAATAAAAGTAAGTGACGGAAATTTTCTTCAAGGGTTCATTTATTTTCTGTGTTCAAGTTAACAGTCATGTATCGTAACCTAATATATTTCTCAACACATTAACATAACTGTTAAAGAATACATATTATTACTCGAGAAGGCTTATAAGAATTGTCAACTTTTACAGTTAGCACCATAGATTGATTCTAATTAGACAACCCTAGCCTCATAGCACTGGATACCTACCTTAACCTAGTATAACACTCGACATCAGGAGATTGACGTCCAGTGGTCTACATAATAGGACGGGACAACTGTCCAATGATTTCTAACTTACACTGGTTGATCAACTAAGATAAGTGATTGATATAAACTTAAAAAGATATAGAATAATGTTTTGTTTGAATGGTTAACTAGTACATTCATATATGTTCTAATTCCGTAACTAGACATCCCACTATTCTATATCATTAATTCGTAGCATAATAGAACAATAAAATTTAATGAAAGATTTTAAAACTGAAAACTGTATTATAATTCAATTAATTTTTATTGGTTAATGTGTGTTACCCTTGTCAAAATTTATCATAATATTATTGTTATGAACATCATTACTGCTTTTATTAGAATTTTTATTGTTTAACATATCAGATAGGTTTTAGAAAGAAACCTGTTTCAGAAAAATGAAATTTGAGAAATAGAAAAAGAAAAAAGACAATGAAGAAGGCATGAATTGAAGAAGTCTACCTCTCCATCTCAAAAACATCATATATGTATATATAAGCTGGTTTTGAAGGTAAAATAATTCAGAACAAATGATACCCTGTATTGAACGTAATTTTGTATATGTTTGAATGTCTAAATGTCTTTGTCTATCTTTTAACTTATCCAAAAATAAGTATATAGTAGTAGTTCTTTTACAGTTCAGTCAGTTTATGTTCGAATCTTTTTTTTTCATTTATTTATTTATTTTATTGAAAGTTAAAATAAATTGTGTAAATAAGAATAGAAAGAATGAATTGTCCTGGTATTTGGTTTTGTTTTGGTTTTTTAGAACTTCGATTATGAATAATGTAAATACAATTAAGTAAGGTAAGCATGCCTGTCAGATTAGTATTAATGAAGAACAATAAACTATATGATGAATTAATATGAATACAAAAAAAAAACAATACAGAAGAGAAGAGAAACACTTTTTTTCAGATCTCTTATAAATGAAAATCAACAGTAAACAAATAAATCATAAGTTTCCATATAACTTGTTTCAAGTACATTCAGGTGTTTGTGTGTAATAGTTATACGTGTAAGTGAATTATTCCCCTTTTTTTCACTTTTCCCTAATACATATCATTTCCATATGTTTATTTATGTTTTACTCAAATCTACTGTTTATTCAAACACCGGAAATAAACCTCGGATTTTTGCCCATTTATTTTGTTTTGTCTTTTTTTTTGTTGTTGCTGTTGTTGTTGAAGTCAAGGAAAAGAAGAAAAAAATAACTTTACATTCATTCATCAAGAAGAAATGAAAGAGGTTTTTTAACAACAACAAAAAAATATTTGAAATATTCTTCAAATGATCCAGATTTATTTATTTTTGAAGAATCATTATTTTGTTGAACCAATAGTACCTAAACAAGTTGAATAAATGTTAATCCCATCATTTTCAACTATATCGTTATTTTTACATGTTGTCATTGATGGTGATGGTGTAGTAACAGTATTTATGCCTAAAATTGTATCATCTGACATACTACTATTATGAATAATTGAACTATTAGTAGTCGTTAAAATATCTTCAGAGTTTATAAAACTGTTACTGTCTGTATCATTGATACGATAATTTTTAGGTGAATATGTGGTTGTTGGTGTGGTATTATAATGCGATGGTATAAGATTAGTATTATAATTTGTCGATAATGTGGACATTGTATCAAAACTATTGGAACCATAATTATGATATGAAAGATGATTTAATGAATATCCATTTGATGCGTCAAAAGAGTTAGAACATGGCATAACAGTGGAATAACGAGGATTATTTTGCTGCTGCTGATGATGATGGGTAGTATTACTATTATTGTATGCACTATTTACTGTTGTATAATCTACACCAGAGCTATTAAATGGATTATTTGTTAGTATATTACACGTGGATGATGAAGAAGATAAATTCGAAGGAATTTCATTTATGTCATCTGAATATACTGAATTATGGGGCAAACGATTATTTACAATACTAACACGATCTGGTAGCGTATAATCTGTTGGCATGACAAGTGAATCTATTCCATTAGTCTTTGGTGAAATATCACCAACGCATTGGTCACTACGACTATTATTAGTAGGGAATCGAATCGAATTATCTTGACTTGATGAATTGTTTAACATGGAACTATTGCCAAAACCAACAGAAGCTGCAGCGGCTGCGGCAGCAGCGGCTAAATAAACATCATTTGATGTAGGATGATTTGAGAATCCTATAAATAATAATCATAGTAATAACAACAAGAATGACAATAATATTCGTTTAATCTTTATTTTTAATTTAAAAACTGTAAATTACTTGATGTAATACAAACAAAATGTATAATCCTTCGAAATATACATTTTTGCATTTTCTAAATCTCATAAATCAACTTATCTAAAGCATGTAATCATATGTTTTATGCAACATAATTACATAAAATTGTTCATTCAACAAAGCAAGTTACTGACTTCTATTTTGGGGTATCTATTAGTTAGAAATAATCACATGGAAATATGATAAGTGTTCATTTCTCTTCAGAGTACACATAGATTTAATAAATTGTATACACTTTTCATTGCCATTATGCATCTCTTCATCCCTTTGGTCATATACATGGGGTTCATTAAAATTTGAGATATAAAAGAATTAGTTGATTTGTCGCTTGGGGAAGTCGAAACATCTCATCATGTAAATGATTAAGAAGATAAGATCAATCTATTAATGACATAAGTCAATACATATTTAAGAGTATGATTCCTAGTACTAGTGTAATGATCAAGAACTATACAGTAAATACTTCATTTGCAAAATGTCCTTCAACTGTCTTAAGCTTTATTGTTCCTTCATTTTCATACCAATCGCTCTCTGTTCTCGTTCTCTTCTCTTTGATCTCAACCTTCTGCTGCCAGGCATCCCACTTTCGATTAATCACACATACTACTTATATCTATCGTCATCAGTAGCACACACTACACTAACAGTTATGAGTATACTGTTTTTATTTAAGGTACACCTGTTTACATGTTATTTTCATCACAAGTTGTTATCGTTTGGGGCTAAAATTTAATTGCTGGATAAGTGATCAGTTTTAAACATTCATGTTTATGAGTAGACTGTGAGGGCGGTCCACGAGTGAACTCGAGGAAGCTCTGAGCTCAGAAAGAGCACAAATCCACAAGTTATAACATAGCCGTTTATAAATAACTGAATTCTTTTTTGACTTTACATTTTATTTTCACTTGGGTAATGCTAAAGCACAACGAAGATCCAGTATCGTTTAAAGTCTCAAATTGTGGGTTAATTTCTAAAAATAGTCATTAATTTCATCAGTCTCATTATAAACTATTAGAAATAACTCTACTAGGTTAGTAGATCTTAAAATTTATGTCCAATAGCAGTTTAATGTTTTAACTATATTGGTTAGAATGGGAGATCACGTTCAGCATAACTTCTGTATTTAATTCAATGTGATAACTTCTCAGTATAACATTCACTTCATTTTCAGTGAGATATTTATTCAGAATCATATTCTATGTATTATTTAGTGTGAACTGCATGCAGTAATCTGTTTTGTTATAACTCTGTATATTTCCCTTCCAAATACTATTTGTTAACTTATCATTAACTGTGACTAAAAGCAATATTTTAATCGGTTTATTGGTTACAGAATGGTAGATATGCTTTGGAAAGTGAAATAAATGTAAATCTACATCACTTTTTGTCTTTTCATTCACGTTATGAGAATCGCATCAATTTCCTTTTTTAAGCAATCTGTGATTTCAATTATTTAATTGTGAATAAGTTGAATATATCCTTACCAGCTACTGCAGCGGCTGCAGCTTGAGCTGCTCTGGTATAAGCTGAATATGGTGGACCACCTTCCATATAGTCTATACACGGGGGCATATTATCACTGATTGAATAACCATGTGGTCCTGTACATTAAAGAATTTTTAAAAAATTACAAAAAAACAATGAGTTTAAAACAAAAATATTTCATAAAAGTACAATCATTTAATGAATAAACAAAATTGTATCAAATTCAATTTGTTTCTAATTTAAATTAAACTATTCTCTCTGATATGATCTAGTTTACTAAGTAAATAAAATTATTATTCAACACTTCATTTACTATAATCTGGCTGTCAAAACCATTCTATCATATTTTTTTTAAAAAAGGGCATAAAATTCTCAGTAAAATATTATCCTATTCATTAGGTTATGATAAACTTGCAGATTTTCATATCAGAATAAATGAATGAAAATTATGTCAATTCATTAAGTTGATATAAATTGGAACCGTCATCTTGAAATATGTTGATATTTATTTCATGAGATTGATTGAATGAATTATTAACGAATTAGTATTAGAAGGGGTTTTTTGTGGATATTGTAGTAATTTCAATAGTTGTGATCATGAGTCAATTGAATCTAGACTACCATGGAAAACCTGGAAACACTGAATGATTGTTTCGTCCTAGTATGGGACTCCCCAGTAGTGCGCATCCACGATCCCATCTCGCGAGCGCTTAACCTCAAGACCTTTGAGTTGGCATCTAATGGATACTAATATGTAACTTCAACTAATCCACGAAGTTGAGCGACACATCCACTATTGTATCTTATGGATTACGATCTCACAACAGACCCGGTTGAACTCCACTAAAAATTCTTGATGAGAATAAGAACAAAGAATTGGATTTAACATAAACTATACGACGGTTTTGATCTTAAAAGGTTATAGATTGTAAGCAGGTGTTAAGAACCTAACGAGATAAAATGAATTCATGATATTCTATTCAATTCTTTGTTCTTGCTTTCGCCAATATAATACACGGAACCAATCACTCACGTAATCCATTATTTCTTGATCAATTAGACTGTGAACAAGGAAAATGATCATTCTGTGATTTGATCATCACACCAGTGAATGAGTTTAGCGCCTGACTGATATCTAGCATTTGTTTTCTGAAAATATTTTCTTGAAAAATGATGTCACTTCTTCGATTAGGTAACAAAATAATTACCACAATATCACTTAATGTAACTTGATTAATCTACAACAAGGCAAACTGCACAAGATTGATAAGTAGTATCTATATAATTCAAGTAGATTTAATATTCCAAACCTCAGGCAACTATATACAAGACTAGCAATCAGATAACAAGCTAAAATAAATGGTTGAACGGAATTTATTTCATCTTATATTGCAATTGAGACCATTCATGGGGTTAAAATCATTCATCAGCATTTTCAGTTTCAGTTCTTCAAATAAACATGTTTATTAATGGTCGTACGTAAGATAATCAAAAATTATTCTCCACATTGATATATTTCTCACCTGCTCTATTAGACTGGTCAATCATAGGTTGTACAATTCTTCGACGTGCATTAATAAACCTAAATGAAGAACATAATAAAAAGATCAAATAAGAATGAATAATTCTTTAAACAGTGTTGTTGATTAAGTTCATATTTGTTATCTTTGTATTCATATTCTTATATGTATACTAAAATGAAAGTGGTCTATAAACTTTATGGAAATAATCAGTGTTTCGTTGATGGATAGTCTTTAAACTCATTCTGAAATACATTTAAATATTTCTTTTGAAATACCGTATACTAAAGTTTACGCTGCATTGAATTATAAAACGTACAATTCGAATCATTTTAGGTGAGATAATACTTATATCATAAAAAACAAAAGACAACAGATCGTTTCTAATTTTACTCATCAAAAGGTTATATACAGAATTAAAATATTTTACATCATCAGCAGAAAAGTTATTACTGAACAACCTGCCGGGGACGTTAAAAAGGAAAATACACGATACATTTACTTTTTTAATGCCTAATAAATAAACTTGGTGTATACCAATTCCTTAAGAGGATCAACTTGTTAGTTTGTTAACTTTCAGATTAAGATTAGTAAGCTACGGAGTTAAAGAGGATTTCAAAGCTTTATTCATAATGTGTCGTAATAGAAACTTGTTTACTGAGTCTATCTCTACTATTTTATTGAATTTTTTTAATAATTTGAATAATTAGCCTTAAGCATTGTGTTGTATCTACTTATCCTGACAGATATGAGTTGTGTATGGCTCGAGTCGGAAGTGGAATGCCTGTCAACAGAAGATTGACTTGAAGAAGACATCAAAGAAAACAAAGAGCAGTTATAAAAACAACAGAATTGGAGGAATCATAAAGCATGTAAAGGACAACTGATGTGCAAATAATGTATTTAATGAATGGTTTTCATATTTTACAAAGGCACTGTGTAATTTTGTGTTAAATAATAAGTTGGTTTCTTCCCACCGGAGTTCTTGTTTACTACAGTATAATACGAAATGTTAACAACATATGCAATTAGTCTAATCCATGTTATTGTGTATTTAAATAACATATTCAATTAAGTTTTTAACCAAGCAAATTTAAAATAAACATGAATGAAACAATTCTAATTTAACTTACCAATTATTTACTTGTAAAATAGTTAATCCTGTATCTTGAGCTAATTGTTTCTTCTGTTCTTCCGATGGATATGGATGCTTTATAAAAATAAATATTACACGTATAGTGTATTACTTAAATATCTACCTTCATTCTATATACAACAGTAAAAGTAATTAATGACTTAATGGTATATACTATCATCATGTACAGGATTCATACTGTATGTTATTTTCAATTCGTCGAATGATTATATTAAGATATTAGTTTATGATGTCATTTTAAATCATATAGATCAAGCTAATGAACTGAATTAAACAATACTAATTTTAATGGTTGAGATCATGAGTCAATTAAAGCTAGACCACCATAGAAAACCTGGAAGCACTGGACGGCCGTTTTGTCCTTTTGTGGAACTCCTTCTAACCCTTCTCATGTGAATACTAAGATAGATAAACACTAGTTTTCCATTCTCTAACATACTTTCCAGATGATCAACATTTAGATGAAATGATTTTTAAGTGTATACTTTTTAACTATGCACATCTTCCTTTAATTATATACATTGATTTCTATTGATAAGAAACTTTATTTATTAAATTGACAGAATATGACTTCAAGTCGACGTATTTCTTTTTCGTTTTTGAAATAACCAGTGATTAACACCTGAACTTAAAGTTATTCAACCACAAATAATCAAATGTTTAGAAAGAAATTCTTATTATTTTCCTAAGCATAAAATATAATTATTCCCTATAATTTTGTAAATAAGAAAAAGAAAACTCATCCTCTGAATCAAGTTAATTCGATGATGCATAAACACTGACAAAATATATATGGAATGTTTTTTTGTCTTTTTCGTTTATTGTAATCAAGCAAAACAGTGTCATAAATAAACATTGTAGATGTAGATTAATGAGTAATTAGATATCATCAAGAATGATCGAAATACTAAAGATACATTTCATATGTCTGAATCAATTCATTGACTATATTATTGGTATACAAACTATTCAGAGAACTGACTATGGCAATAGCCAATTGAAGGATTTCTTAATTAATACCAGAAGGGGTTTTTGTAGATATTGTAGTAATTTCAATAGTTGAAATCATGAGTCAATTGAAGCTAGACTACCATGGAAAACCTGGAAACACTGGACAGTCGTTTCCTTCTATTATAGGACTGATATGTCCTGGGTTCGAATATCGCGAGGCGGGATCGTGGATGCACATTGCTGAGGAGATTCACAGTAGAAAAAACCTGCCATCCAATGCTTCCAGTTTTTCCATGGTGGTCTAGCTTCAAATGACTCATGATCTCAACTATTGAAATTTCTTAATTATTTATTTAGTACATTAGCTATGTTTATCTTTCTTAGGGCTCAAGGACCCTTCGTTACCTAAAATGTTAACAACAGCTTCTTGTGTCAGAATTACCTGTTTAAAAAGTTTTAAACGTAGTGGTGTAATCATTTCCTGATCTCAAGTTGTCTATAGTGCTCAGTGATTTTTTCTGAAATTATGTCACCGACAAACTGAATTTGATGTTTAATTAGCTTCAGAATGTCTCATGGATAGTTAAACTGGTAAAAGAAAAACGATCATCAATTTTACGTAGAACCCCTAGTTAATCTACGATAGTTAAAGTCGCGTCAAATATGATAAACAGTACAGAATTCACTTTTTAAAAGTTCACGCTTTGGGCTCATCAAATTTTATAGGTGATAAGTTGTATGTTCAATCATTCATTTTGTTTGTAATCTTTGTGAAACTGGATATTAAGTCATACATAAACCTTATTAGATTGTTATAGTTCATTATGAAATTATATCAACTTAGCTGACAAAAAACCCTCAAACTATTTTCAAATAGAAAGCGTTAGACTGTATTTATCCAAAAATGCTGGAAAAAAAACTTTAAAACAATGTACTTTACAAATATCATTTATTCATAGGTATTTACAACTTACTGTTAAATGTTGAAAAAGCCATGCTCTCATGATATTTGTAGCAACTTTTGGAAATATTCCACGCTTTTTCTGCCTTTTTAAATCATTTCTAGTTTCCGAGTCTAATTCTTCCATGACATCTTTTTGTGATCCTATGAAGTCAATAAAATAAAACAAAAAGTATTTTAAAGAAACCCATAAAATGTTTTTTTCATATGTAAGAACAAGATTTATTACAGTTTAGAGAATCAAAGCTAGAAACATAGAACATAAATTATTTTCAACTAGTTTTTTCATCATGGCTCTACACTAATATATATATTTATATATGATTTACAATGATGACCCATCGATAATTTTTACACTAGAGGAAGAACAAAATAATGTCCAATTAACTAGAAGAGCAGATGGAACATTAAAAAGTGGGATACATAGAAAGTCTACAGTTGGACAATACATTAATTTCTATAATGCTGTACCAATCAGACACTAAAGAAACTTGACAAAGATCCTGACTCATGGTGTTAGAATGATTTACTTGGATGACATTATTGTAAATGAATTGGTTAATATTCGTAACTTGCTTAGTAGGGATGAATACTCAACGAAATTCATCGAAGAACACATGAAAAGAACGATAAGGGTAAGTACCGTTCCGAAGAAAGTACTGTTCTTAAAATTACAATCCTTAAATGATACTACCGTAGAAAGCGTGACTTGAAAGTTAATAAAGGCGGTACAGAAAACATTTAATGCAGCCAGACTGAGTGTCGTCTTCTACAACCGCCCTATAATAAGAACGGTTAATAAAAACAGATTGCTTGAATTCGCCACATCCATATGTATTTACCAATTCAACTGATGCTGTGGAGCCAGTTATATAGGGCATACAATTCGGCAAGTCCGTCATCGCATAACAGAACACCAACCATCCTGGTTAAGCAAAGGACAAGAAAGAGTGACTAAGAGTTCTGTTCTCGCTCACTTAGTGGTCACAGGTCACCAAGTTGAACTGAATAAAGCTTTTAAGATTATCCACCATATTCCATCAAATTTGTCACATGGTTTACGAACTCGTATTTCGCATATTGTTGAAGCCATTGGAATCCATGTTCACAAACCAAACCTTTGCATCGAAAAGAACTTTGTACAACCACTCTTGCTACCTTGGCCAACGGTATGGGGGACTTTGTAGCAGAATTTTGATAATTTATTTCCGTATTTCTTTCAGCTTTTGCACTTTACTTATTCTCAACATTCGTTTTTTGATTCCAACTTAACTACTATACCACAAACCATTCATCAAAATATTGTGTTAGTTCCTTCTTTTTTTAATATATTGTGCAACGTAGCATTATTATTTCATTATTATAAATGATGTATATTAGTGTAGAGTCATGATGAAAAACTAATTGAAGAGAAATTTGATAATGATGATGATGATGAAACTATGTTCATTTTTTAGAAACCATTTTCTCTGAAATCAGTCATTTTAGAATAATCAATATTAATGCTTAATTAATGGAGTTACCAGAATTTGTTAAGATCTAGTTATCGGTATGAAAAGAACAATAAGGCAGTTTTTGATGTTAATTTATAACTTAGAAAGTTTTGGATACAATGTAAAAAGTGTTTATTGGAGTTAAACCAGTAAATTAAAAAATTTTCTACCAACAATATGTGAATGTTTATGAAGAAAATGTGTTCATATTTTCAAAATACAGTATTCACATAATTAAGATAATTTGCTACACTTTACTGAAGATACAAAGCCGAAAATGAATTTTTTTTTAATATTTCTATCTAAAAGTACTTAGACACTAGGAATATTAACAAAGATCAAACCTCGGTATAAAACTTCTCATCATTCTGTTTATAATTGTCAACAGTTAATATGGTTTTACAATAATGTTCAGACATCCAGCTAATTTATCACAACTTAAATGAAGTCAATACATTCCCATCATTTGATAGTTTAGAATATATCATTACTCAATCATTCACGAGTACAGTGAATCCTTTTCTAAACTACAATGTTTAAATTATGTTATAGTTGAGCTCTAAAAATATGTAAATGATCATTCAATTCCACCAATTTTAAACACCAATATAAGGCAATCAATAAGTTATTATCAGTGAAACTGATTATTTGATTATTAAATACTTTGATTGACAGGATAGATGTGATAATGACTGAATCATTTCTAAAATATAACTGAATGACTATTTAAATACTAGTTATTAAATTATTGGAGTCTACAAGGGAAAACAGAGAGAACAGACCAGCTTCAAACTGAAGAGGAAGTTAAAAAAAGATGATGGAAGTGGATAGGACATACATTTCGGAAATCATCAAACTGTATCATGAGGCAAATACTAACTTGTAATCCTGAAGGGAAACAAAAAATAGAAAGAGCAAAGAACACACTGAGTCGAGAATTGGAAGCAGACATAAAAATGTTGAATAGCAACTGGAAACAACTCGAAAGGATTGTCCAGGACAGAGTTGTATGTAGAATGCTACTGGTTGGCCTATGCTCCTTCATGAGGGGTAAAAGGCGTAAGTAAAGTAATAAGTAAGCATAAAATTATTACTGCTCTAAGAACCACTAAATGAAATATATTGTTTACCACAGACATCAATTGTTATTCGTGGATCCTCGTACTTAGTCCAATTAAAAGAACAATTTTAAATTAAATTTTTAACTAGTTATAAAAACACTATACATTTATTTCAGTATTGATTAAACTTCATAATTAAACTAGGCCAATCACATAAATGATTATTTGATTACTGTGTTATGCAAAATGAATTGAGTTGCATCATTAACTAATTGCAGTAATTCTGTAATGATCTTGAACTAGAATACAATAACTTTCCAGTACTTTCAGCCAATTCATAAATATATAATTAATTTAAGCAGACGATGAAAGTCGTTTTAAAGTGTATGCCGTATTGTAATTAGATATAGTTTCAATGAAAAATTCGGAAAAAAACGGAATGATCATAAAAAGGTTTATATTCTGTATTTTTCTCTACATTCACTTAAACTTCCAGGTAATATGACCATATTTATGATGATTTATGTTATATGAATACAGTGTAAATTACATATTAATCATTGTTACAAACACCAACAACAGTAATAATCAGTAAGTAGTATTCTTGAACACTTGTTATTTCATAGTCACAATCTCAATTATTAATGTTACCATAAATCCTAAAACCGAAAATTACCAGATTCCATCTTGATTTTATCAGATTACGTACACCGTTTTTTTTTAATGAAAAGGTGTGTAATACACTCAACTATAAGCTTGTGTACATAGATGTGTATGCTTCCTCTATTATGTTTAGTTAACATTACTCTACATTATCATCTACGTTAAATTGTCCCCTTTCTAAAATTATATACTGAGTATTAGGTTGAAAAAAGTCTGAAGAATATCGATATAAATCTTGATTTAAAAAGATCAAGAATAAATAAATGAGAAAAACAACATAACGAAACTTTTGTTTATTTCTTCTTGTCAAGTCGGACATCAATCATTGTCATTTTACTGGTAGGTATAACCAGTAGTGTATGTGTGAGTGTGTGTGTGTAGAAAACCTGAAAGACAAGTTTTCTATAAATAGAAAGGTCGCGTGTTCATTTTGAATGAATTGTAGAAATACAATATATTTATACAAAAATACGAACAAAACAAAAGCGGTAACAATCATGACAAGAAATGTTTAATAAAACACAGTTAAGAAATGGAACAAAGTGATAAACGTCCGATTGTGGTTTGCTAATAGTAGAGGGAGTGAAAATATTTAAAAGTTTCATGCATATTTATTAAATACTCAAACACGAACTCAAAAAAGAAATGTTGATGCAGTAATATTTCCATTATGATTAGCTTGACAAGCTAACCATTCATAAACCAGTTAGTATAATTTCACTATGATAAAAAATGTGATTTAACTCATGAAAATTGAACAGATAAATGATAGATATGAATGTAAGTCTGTAAACACAAGTATTTATAATGTTTACTCATTTGCCCATTTGTAATGAGGTGACAAAAAAAATCACAAGAAAGAAACTTAAGTCAAATTATAAACCAGATGGTAATCGGACTATTTAATTCTTTATCACACAACAAAAATAGCACTTCTGGACATTTATTTATCAGTAAATTATATTTAAATAAGTATGGAATCATGAGCTAACATAATTTGTTGAGTATGATGTTTCTATTTGTATGTATGTTATTTATCTTAGATGAAAGAAAATCTCACTCCATATGGTTATTACTGTATTACTGTAATGATCATGGTTTGGAGGGAAAATTTTTCAATACATGTATATAGAGCGAAAATTTAAGAATGATGCTAATATGTTTATTGTTTGAATAGGTTTGGTTAAATTTTCGACCGAATATTAAACAAATAATGGAAATGGGTAATTCAATTTATCTTTTAATATTGAGAAAATGAAGTTGATATTAATGATTGTTGACAAAATTGTTTTAAGAGATTAGTTTGAGTGTTTAATTGTAGTAATAACATTTAAATAAACTTCAAAAATTGACAATAAGTCCCAGATTTTATATTTTAAGTGACAGAAGATTAATATTGTTGAGTACTCCGTTAAACAATGACAGAATAGTTGGATAATACTCTTCAGTTTTCAAAATACATTAACGATAATATTAGTGGTTGGTAAATATTGTCTTCAAACTGGTTTATTAACTTTAAATTACTCAGTTTCAAAACGGATCATTTTCGACTTGAATCACTTGAACAAAAAGGATGTCATAACATATTTTGTAAAGTTAATTGGAATAATAATGTTCTGAAATGTTGAATCTTTTGACTTAATATCCTGTAACATTATTTTCTACAAGGATTATTGTGTTACATTAAAAGGGAAGAATACTTTTGTAAAATCTCAGCGAATTAATTTAAAGTAAATCGAATTTTTCGCCTAACAGTCTGGTTCAAGCTTTTTCACAGAAATATATTCAAACATCAAAATTATCGAATATAAATAGTTGCATGGTTCTCCGGTTCACTATATACTGAATAGATCATCCAGCCAACGTTAACGATGTTTTTACATAGGATTTTACAAATACATTCTTCCCCTTTGATGTCTCACATCAA